TGATACTTAACCTCGTTAGAGGATCTTGTCTTTGTAAACCATCACATCCCATTCTTTCAAGTATTAGGGAAATATTTGCTACAATGCAAATGACACTAATATCCCTATATATCAATAAGTATAGAAATAAAGGATTTTTCTTGTTATCATTAACTCTCGTAATATCTAATACGCCATCGAATGTGTACGTGTTGTACATACTAATAGCTCTGATTTTTTCCGCGATCCTAAAGCAGTTTCGTGAGCAGAGATAAAACAAGTAAACTACACTTATTTATAATGAATGGGGTTGCGATAAGAACCTGTAATTTTAGCTATAATTTTGTTCATTTTTGCACTCGAAATTGTTTTCGTACTATATCATACATAAAATTTGAATATAGAAATATAATAGGTCTTTACCTATGAAATTGCCGTTTTGTATGCAATAAGTGAAAGTACTTATTTTTTCAAACTTTTTTATTTCTGTTATTCGAAGTAATCACCCATGCAATCGACGCATCTTTGCCAACGCATTGGCAGTTTATTGATGCCCTTCTTGTAAAAATCAGCTGGACGGGAGGCAACAAACTCTTCAAAGGCATTTTGTACTGCCTCTCGGGAATTGAATTTTTTACCCACTGTTGAGGCCAGGATCCTTTCGTAATGGTGTTGCTCTTCAATGACATACGTTTATTATTGATTTTCAATACGTTTAATAGCGAAATGAATTTAACATTGTATTTCTTATGAATATGTTTAACAAGCGAGTAACAAAATAAGAGTGAGTGAAGTTCGTCGCGTCGCGCTCGCGAGCTTCACGATGGTTGTCGTTTTTTAATTAACGCCGATAGATGGCGTTAACACCCACTAAAAAGTTGTCTAAATTTTGGAAAAAGTAATAGTCGGTAGGTGCAAGGTCTGGTGAGTATGGCGGATGAGGGAGAGCTTCCAACCCCAGCTCTTGCAGATTGGAGACTGTCTGTTGCGCAGTATGGGGTCGCGCGTTGTCGTGAAGGAGCAGTGGGGACGACCGATTGACAAAAGCTGGTTGCAGATGTGACCACCGGACCTTGCACCTACCGACTATTATTTTTTCCAAAATTTAGACAACTTTTTAGTGGGTAAAATAATCGATTTCCGAGAGGCAGTACAAAATGCCCTTGAAGAGTTTGTTGCCTCCCGTCCAGCTGATTTTTACAAGAAGGGCATCAATAAACTGCCAATGCGTTGGCAAAGATGCGTCGATTGCATGGGTGATTACTTCGAATAACAGAAATAAAAAAGTTTGAAAAAATAAGTATTTCCACTTATTGCTTACAAAACGGCAATTTCATAGGTAAAGACCTAATATAAGAAAGAACTCTAAACGCGTACTTATTTTTTACCCAAACACTGTACGAAACATTCATATCGCTTTAGGTTTTCTGTTTCATCTTTCGTTTCGTTTTGGTCTTTGTGTCCTATTTGACACGTGTAATAAAGAGATGGATAACAAAACATGGAGCACAAAAGAATATAAAGCTATTTATAAAATATCCAAAAATAGTTTAAGAGAACTGAGTAAGTATTTTTAGTAGTCTAAAATGTCGTAATTATTGCGTATATGTTATGAGAATGACAAAACAAGGGCGCATGCCATCTCAGAGCCAGAAAACAAATAATATTTCCTAAAGTCTTTAACCTGAGTTCTCGTTTCTAAATAAAGTTTAAGTTTTCAATTGTTTTGATTGTGTTTTGGAATTTTTAAAATTTTGAACCGACCTGAATGCTAGATTGATTTTAACCAATAAGCTGCATATTCAATGAGTCTATAATACCGTGTTTCAGACCTAGCCAGATTTTTTTATGACAAAACTTAGCATAATTTAACATAATTGATCCCCTTTCGACTACTGCTTAGAATTTTTAAATTTTGATGGATTTTTTAAAATATTTTTCAGTTTTAATCTTGCTACGATTTTTGATTCACATTGTTGGTAACTTCGTGCAACCTTCGCCCGTTCTTGTTATAGTTTATGTTCTCAAGTATTATTTAGAAAATATACTACATGTTATTTCCTGTGAGTTTATTAAAACAGAAAACAGAAGAACCAATATATCAACATTTTTATTTAATACAGAGAGATAAAGAATTCTTTTAGCCGCGAAGTCGTATTTCTCTTTGTTCAGGTAAGAAACCTTAGGGACTGTGCGGCATAAAGCTGAGCGCCTGCCGAGAAAAGTAACCTCTTAATAACGGTACTCCTATTTTTAAATAAGCCAGTGACATAGTCTAAGAATAGTCCTAGCAGGCTTGGTAATATTACTGGACGTTTTGCCTTGGGTACTAATAGTTATGACAAGCATTTACATAAATAGATGACAATACTATTTCACTCTTATACCAAAGTACATACATATATTTATTTATGTAATAATATATTACCTGTATTAGGTATAAATAAATAGATATGGGTAGGCGTAGATAAGCGAATATCAAGTTTCATATCAAGTTACTGTGACTAAATAAAATGGAGCACAGCGATGTCTCAGTTTCTGACCTTTTATAAATATACCTCTTTAGTACTATAGACTCGAAAGTTAGTGAGTATAGACGAATGTTTGTAACTCAATCACGTCAAAACGGTTGAATGGATCTAGACGAAATTCGGCCGAGAGATAGATTATAGTCTGGAATACTATTTATCTTACTGCATAAAACATACACTAGGTATGTTTAAAGATTTTCGAAAAGAATAAACAACTCGGTGTTGTACACAATTTTCAGATCATCTTATTCAAATGAAGGTTTTGAAAAAGATCAACTCTATCATGAACGGGACGGGACGGCATCAACCCTTATCAAAAAATTACTCAAATCGTTAGAGACACGGGGCATAAATGCTGACTAGAAATTTTTAACCTCAGTCATAAATTATTTGTAACGAAGTTAATTTCTAATTTAACACGCTTCGGCAGTGAACTGTAAGGCCAGTTAAATAAACCACTTCATGTCAAGCCACGATAACATTCTAGATTCAAGTTTTTTTTTAGCTGTAATGTTTTTACTATGCATCATTTTTTAAATAAAATTCCTAAAAGGTAGATAGTATACAATTATAGAGATTCTCAGAGGAATTCAGCGTCAATACGCTAAATTCCTTTGAGAATCTCTCTGACAGATTACACACAATGTTCGGAGAATTTCACTTGAATAGATGTTCTGCCATTTCGGGATTACCATGACTACGTTTTTTAACATTTTAGTAAGAGTATTATCAACCCTTACCAATAATTTTGTAACGCTTTCAGCCCTTAATTGATCAACTGATCAGAACATTTTATTTTCGGATTTCGTCAATAAAAATTTACTGTCTGAAATAGAATATCGACCGATTCCTCGAGGATAGAGAAACAATTATAATCAGATTTCTTGTTTTATTGTTTTTAAAAAGACAACTCCCGCACTAGGAATATATCCTGTGTCGCGGGGGACTTTACAAACATACATGAAACGGACACAAGGAACACCCGGACTCAGAACGACAATTTATGGATCACACAAATTGTGGTCCCATGTGAGGATCGAACCCGCAACAGTCAGTCTAGTAGGAAGCGGCATGGATAGTAGTTAAACCACTACGCCATCCGTGCAGTCAAAATTGATGACTAGCATCAATAAAATCCACCGCCTTTTCAAGCTGTCTCGTCATACTTCATCGTTATTGTTTTGTAATCGATATTCCAGGAAGTAACAGAACTTTCATTACAATCCAACAATAACATGCCATGCCATGTTTTCATGCAGTGTGCGATAGCATAAGTGGAGCAGTAATAGCTGTTGTTAACGTGTGTGTTGTCTGACTAACCTATAATGCTGGAATAGCTTTTATTGAATTTGTAACAGCAACAGAGTCGCTATGCCCCAAAGATCCTGCTTTACTAACATTCTCGAATCCTTATTTAAAAGCCAATTTGCTCATATCACTGTAAGTTTTGATGTTTAATGCAGCTCTATTGAGAAAATAGGCGTTACCTGTCGTGCCGTAAACCACAGTCTAACAAATTAATTACAACTCAGCGGTATAAATAATTGGATTTAATTAAAATAACTTTTCAGATGCCGTAAATTAGACTCAACAAAGTTTATCGATGTTTTATGATCACACTGTACTTTGTAGTGTATTTGTAAGCTATATAAGAAGTGTAGTATATTTATAAGCTATATATTGTATAGGTATTCCATTGTCCCTAAAAAACATGTTTAAAAATGAATAGCGTATTTTAGTCTGTAAAAGTAATCATGTAGGGGAGTACTCGAATAAGCACAAGTACACATAAAAGTGCAATATGCAGGATACATTTAAACATAAATTAGTACTTCATGGCCGTTGTGTGACTAACTATTGACTGCACAGATGGCGTAGTGGTTTAAGCGGTCGCCACGCCGCTTCCTATTACGTCGAGTGTTGTGGGTTCAAACCCCACATGGGACAACACTTTGTGTGATCCACAAATTGTTGTTCTGAGTCTGGGTGTACTTTGTGTCCGTTTCATGTATGTTTGTAAAGTCCCCCGCGACACAGGATTTATTCCTAGTGCGGGAGTTGTTTTAAAAAAGAAAAAAGAACTATTACTGCGATGGTAGATAACTAAAAATAAACCATATAACGACATGGCGCGGTAATCAATGAAAAAGTAAGTGATATCAATAACATCGCTTTATAAAACATGAGAGTTCCTTGTATGTATTTGAGTGAAAATAGAAGTAATTATTATTAACCATTCATGAATCATGCTTCGGCACATTTGGGCCATATATGTATATAATGTAACACGTGAACCTTAATTTAAGATATGATATCTACACAAGTATCGTATGGCTCTTGACAGAGTCACCAACAGATAAATATAATTATGCTTCAATTATATAACTCTCTTCTACAGAAGGAAGGCCCAAGATCATGCGGGAAGGAACAAGGATTCAGCAATTGCTTCAGATTAATCAAAGACTGATAGAATCAGACCATTTAATGCCTTTAAATTATTATACGATCGTTGCCTTTTGCCGGTGGTTCCTCAGTACCTGCACTGTCTACTTCCTTAGCCTGGAATTAAAACATATAAAAAAGTTATTACAATTTTTTTCATCCATGTTTTTACGACAACAAACAAAACTCTACTACTTCTATGCTCAAAATCTCAAACAAATGTCTGTTCATCTTGGTTGAAATAACACCTTACATCAAATGGACTCCTTGTATCCTAAAAATGTCACCGCGTGTAGATGAGCATTTCTAAAACTCTTTCTTAAATGAAAGTTATTAAAAAAAAAACAAAAGTTATATAAGGCGCAACCTAATGGTGAATTATGGCTCACAAATCATTCGATGCTTCTTTGAAGCCATAAAATACCCTTGAAAGTAGCCATTAGGCCCATTAAGCACATCAGTCTGCGCGTCGTACGTGCAGTGTCCCAGTGCAGTCATACAATATCATACTCTATTTTATATTTAAATATATTGTTAAAGTGAGCCATTTGTGTGTAACAAATGGCTATTAGTTAGTCTATTGATTTAAGTGCTCACTGGACCTGATCCTCTCCTCTCTTTAGAGCTTAAAGGTATTAAGACTAATAAGAATATTTTTTAGAATTCTTTGCATAAAAAGCGTTATGAAAATCTTAAAAAATATTTAAGTGACAATACGGTTCTTTACCTGAAGCTTTCTGCATCTTAAGGGATTCATATTATCAAGGTAGGCTTCCCAAAATAACGAGACGTGGTTGGGAGATAACTGACGATCTTTTAAAGCACAAGTCAGGCACCAGTTATCTTCATATGGCTCTATTACGATACCTAAAAGACGTTATTAATCTATCTATTTTTTTTCTATAGGCAGTATATTATTAATAAATGTACTCTAGATGTATTTTAAATAAAATATTACATTTTTAAGCAGATTTATTGAATTAATTTATTATGTCTGAATCGGTCCGGTACATCTTTAGATTTTATTGAACTAAAATCTGTAACTTATTTCGTGAAGAAATTAGGCGTGAAAAGACAATTTGGGATAAAGCCTGCCTGGGATAATATTCTTTATAGTATGAATTTGAGCATATACATGAAGCTTAAGGGATGAAAGTTGTACAGCATTTTTATTCAGCAATATTTAACGCTTAATCGCACATTTTCAAAGAATAGTCTGAGTCTGCAAAATTTACACCGTAAAGTCATTTCAAGGTTTCAAAAGATCATTATAAACCATTATACCGGAGTGGCGGCTGGTCTCGTCGGTTATTTCTACAAACTCACCCCTATTGCTACTGCTCAATCGCCAGAGTAATTAGAATTAAAATGTTTATCAATGTATGTAATATTAAATTTATAAATATATGTAATGTATCTGTGTGGTGACGGATTAAGAATACGGAGTATCACCAACCGTATTTCTACCGTGATTGGATCATTATACAGCGCTATCTACACGCTCTAAAAGACTACGAGAAATCGAAACCGCGACCTCCGAAATGACTATCACCGTACAAATCTTTATCAGTATTGAATCAACAGTACATACGAGTTTATATGTTATTAAAGCCTATTTTAAGACATTAGTTATCAGTAGGGTATGGATAAATATGTATTTAAACAAATACAAAATATGTATGTACATATAATATGAACCACAAAATCGAAAATATGGAAAAAATTTGGTGTATAAAATAACAATACCTTTCATTCTAAACTCTGTTTATTGTGCGTAATCATTTACTATAGTAACAGTTATATTAAAAAAAGCTTAAAAAATATGTAATTCAACAAAAATTAATAATTTTATTGAACGTCCATTACATTAGTTTTTATATTGGTTGCAGTACACAAGAACATGTTTCTTTAAAGTTTTAAACTAAAAATTCTAAATGATGTATCCACGTCACATGATGTGACTGGAGCACACTTAAATATGCATTACTCTGGAAGAGATTAAGCCACGTTTTCAGTTCCCTTAATATTTTATTAAGCACAGCATTTTATTAAGTTTTTTGAACATATGTACTTTAGTTTTTTTTTGCCACTCGTGCAGTGGCGGGCACGCACTACATGTTATACACATTTTTATGAAGTTACTCTTATTCTATCATATTGTATAAAATGAAAGTATGGATGATTGTGATATTTTTTTTGTAAAATGTAGATTTAACCTTAAAAAATGGAAAAATATGGAAAATAAAATTAGTTCACTATTCAAATACAACAATTGTTGTAGATAATAAATTCTGGAACGACAATCGTGTAAATTAAAAATATGTATTTACATATTAATCCGGGGCCTAGTTACCAGTTACAGCGTATGAAACCAAAGTGTCATGAAAAGGTTTGTTCTGAACATAATTAATATAATGTAGTTTAAATGTGTGATGAACAAAGCAGACCGTACTTTTACCTAACTTGGTACGGCTGTGAAATGTTGTGGCACGTTTTTTCAAGAAACGCATGCACAAGGGAAATTCTTAGAAAGTTTAAATAAGAAACCCCTCAACATAACGTCTTTATAAATAACGGTACGAAATTATGCGTGAAGGGATAAAACGTAAGTAGGACTTTATTTTCCGACACCGATTTTGGAATTTAGAATAAACATGGTGTTTAAAAAAAACTTTTTTTCTTAAGTCCAATTACATACATTCATAAATAAACTGTACGTATTTATTTTTTAACCAACTTTTAAAAAAAGACGGTGCTAAATTCGGTAGATTTTTTGTTTATTTCCTCAGTTATTAATGAGCCTCTTTGGATAGTTCGTTTTTTAAGTATATTTCTCGTTTAGTTTCATTCAAATTTGAAGAAGGTAATTTGTTCGGCATTTGCGAACAAATTACCTTCTGGATTACACAGGATTCCCGAAGCTAATCAGATTTTAACTAGTTTTAAAAAAGGAGAAGGTTTAACATTTGGCAGTGCAGGCGTGAAAAGGGAAATACTGTCGGATAATCTTTTAATAACAATACAATTCTTTAAAACCTTAGTAGACCTATTATTAAGGAGTATTTAATCATCAAAATAGCCGTCAAAAATTATCGGCTTGTCTTATTTATTACTTCTCTGACACAACGACAACTTTAAGATTTCTAAACAATATTAAAAACACATCAACGTCCTTTAATACTTCATTGCTAGACATGGTCTCTCCTTATAAGGGAGGTTTTGGCCTTTATACTACGCTGGTCAGAGGGTTTGGTATAGGCTTTGTGTCAAGTGTTTCTTCTCTTTGCAGCTTGAACTAAACTTAATCGGCTCTTACGACACCGACGTGATAAATAGGGGTGGTGACACTCCGTGTTCTTAAACCGTCACAAAGTCATATAAAAAACAGATTTCTTATTTAAGAACTTTAAGCACAATACTTCTCAAATACACAAACAAGTATCGATACCGAAAAGAGCGACACGAACCACTTTTCAGTAAGATTTATTGGGCAGCTGAAATTGTCAGCAACAGGTAGGGGTGATTTGACGGCATTCTCCAAACATTTCTCCCTCCATTATTACTAACTTTATTTAAGAGACACTGAATCAAAAAGTTACGTAATCCAAGTAAATCTCAAGTTGTTTAGAAGCAATTTGTTTTGGAAGTATTATCTTCGTAATTGGTGGTATTACGAGATTTTGATTTGTGAGAACACATTTGTAACTTGCCCAATTAAGTTAAAATATTGGTATGATGGATTTACAAGACTGTCAAGGTAGTTTACACGATTTTGATTTTTTATTTATTTATATTTTATTATTGTGATGCGTGAGGAGGAAATAGGCGGACTAAATGCCTAAGACACTCTCTAGCGCTGCCTTAGTGGGTTCGATTCCCGGACCGGACAAAAATTTATAGGGTTTTTCTGAGGAAAAAAGCCTAAGTTACTTCTTATATACACAGCTACCTGGTACTAAAATGTTATCAAAATCAGTTTAGCTGTTTAGAAGATTACCCGGAATAAACAGACAGACAGACAAAAAAACTGTAAACGGCATAGGTATCGTGCAAATAACCCTGTGAGCATGAAAAAATCTATTATTTTGACATTACAAACAGACACTTCAATTTTATTTATTTGTATAGATAAATGAATAAGAGTTGTATAAAGAAATAAATAACTTACCAGCTATGGTCGCCACTCTCAACTTCTCTTTCAATTCAGGGTATAACTCTGCCTCTACTGGATTTACTGGATAGTTACGCTAGAATTAAAAAAAAAATATAAATTTAATGTTTTAGTTCTCGATGTGTGTGCTCTAAGTCACGTTTATTTATCAGTATCCAACTGTCTATTAAAAACAAACGTAAAATCGATTCTGAATATTCTTCCGACCGTTCTATGTAATCGATTATGGTGACCAGACTGCTTATAAACTTACATATATATTTCTTAATACATACATATCATAGCTGTATAACATACACACACAAAATATCGTGCTCATCACACAATTATTTGTCTTGGGTGGAAATCGAACCCGAACGACCTCTGGGTCAGCAATCGGGATCACTAACCACAAGCCCAACAACCCTATTAAGTACACCCTTCACCCTTCTCAAGTAATATTCAAACGTGATCTTCTCTTGTTATACATTTCTTTTTTTAATAGCTTTGGTTCGTTATCGGTCGGCAGACTATGAGTTCCTATACTATAGACCAGGGATTCCCAAACTATTTTGGGCAAGAGACCACTTTTCTTAAATGAACTGATTACTGCAGACCCCGATAGCCAAATTACTTTAAAAATCCTATATCTAGTTTTTTTCCTATTAATGCAAAATATTTACTAATTTGAAAACTTTGCGGATGGTTAAGTGAGTAAACATCAAAATTTAAGAAATAGACTTAAAATTCAGTAAATATCAAGAGTAATTAATATTTTTAATACAAATAACGTTAATTACAAAACGTTAAAAACATTAATACACACAACTTATACTGTATCTTGAAAGTTTCAAATAAGAACTTGTGTTAATTAATGGGGTTGATTTTTAGACCTCGTCGACTTCAAAAATCAATTTTCGTTTATGTTGTTCCCTGGGAATTGGGTTTAGACAACTTTGGGAAAACCTGCTATAGACCGTACGTCTGCTTTATATTTACGAGGAAAATTATTTCCTTCCCTATTTTATTTTTAAAAGAAAAGTAAAGAAACGCAGCCACAGAACAAGCAAAATAGGAACTATAAGAACGTTATTTTCTTGTCCTTTTTCCTGTCTATGTGATTCTTAGAAACCAAAGTATCTCCATGCCAAATTACATTAAACTTGGCTCAGCGGTGTAGCCGTAAAAGTGCGACAGATAGACAGACAGAGTTACTTTCGCATTTATAATATGAAGACATTTCATACTTTATCTCGAAATGAAAACCAAATATCAATAAGTACCCGATTTAATCTGCGATACTGTTCAAAACTCAAACAGTAAATTCAAATGTACCTCAAAGTTATTGGAAACTTTTACGTTTATCGTTGTGGAATATTCGAGATCGGTAAGACTGAAGTTCAGATTTTACACTGTATCTATATCATCATCTATCGAAGTAGATCATTTCACCGAGACTTATGACAAATGCGACGTAGTTTTAAGTTAATGCGAAGCACTCTAGAACTAGCCGAGCATTTTTCCCCTGTCCAAGAAGGAATGTTTTACTTAAAACGGAAGTATATTGTTAGTGACTTTTTTCTTTTATTTCCTTCGGAAATCGTGGCTTCGTGAATGCCAGAACCACGGTTCTGGCCGCGAGGCCGATGAGGTGCTTCAAGTGCCTAGTCGCGGGACACACTCGCACCAGGTGCGAGAGCTGTTTTGACTGCAGCGGTTTATGCTTCCGCTGCGGTCAACCCGGGCATAAGGCGGCAGAGTGCTCTGCCGCCCCTCACTGCCCCGTGTGTGCGGCGGCTAAAAAGCCCGCCAATCACCAGATGGGGCAGGGGGGCTGCAAGCCTCCCCGCGCTTCTCGGCAAACGCCGGGGGCTAGCCTGCCGACCCAGGCTACCTCCGACGTCAATCTTGCGTCGACGCCGACGGCCATGGAGGAGGTTGTAGAGACGATCCAGTAATGGATCAAGTCTCCAACCTCCTGGTCCAGACGAATCTGAACCACTGTGCTGCGGCGCAGGATCTTCCTGCAAACCATGGCACAGTGGTCGATAGGTGTTGCCGTAGTCGCGGAGCCCTATTTTGTCCCTCCCCGTCCAAACTGGATGGGTGACCGGGACGGCTCCGTGGCAGTCGTCGGCTCCACGGCGGCTCATTCCCCGCCCTTGTCGCTAAGAGACAAGGGTACTGGATATGTTGCCGCCGATTGGGGGTAATCACCATTTATGGTGTATATTTCTCCCCCAACCGGAGTTTGAACGACTTCGAGGTCTTCCTTAACAACTTGGAGGCCTCGATGCGGCGACTAGTGTCTGGGCACGTCCTCGTGCTGGGGGACTTCAACGCAAAGTCCATTGCGTGGGGTTCCCCTGCGACGGACGCCAGGGGCGAAGCCGTCGAGGAGTGGGCGGCGTCGGTGGGCCTCTGTTTGCTGAACAGAGGCTCCACCAACACGTGCGTGCGACAGCAGGGGGGGTCGATAGTGGAACTTTCGTTCGCTACCCCTGCAGTCGCCGCACGAGTAAGGAACTGGTGAGTCCTGGAAGAGGTCGAGACGCTCTCGGATCATTTGTACATCCGATTCGAGCTCTCCCGGTCCCAGGACCCCAGTAGGGGTCACGCGGCGCGGCGCCCTTCCCGCTTCCCGCGGTGGGCTTTCGCCAAGCTCGACAGGGACCTACTAGAGGAGGCGGCCATTATTTACTCTTGGCTGTCTCCACAGGCCCCGACCGAGGAGGTCGACATGGGGGCTGGTCGCTTCTGCGAAGCGCTTACGCAGATTTGCGATGCGGCCATGCCCCGCGTTCGTGGTTGTCGGCCTCCAAGGAAGAAGATCTACTGGTGGTCCCGGGAGTTGGCGGACCTCCGTGCGGCCTGTGTACGTGCCCGGAGGTCCCTCACCCGTAGTCGGCGACGTCACCGCGGGGTCGGTGAGGAGGTGGACCGGCTTCATGAGGATTACCGAGAAGCTCGGCAAACTCTGAGGCTGGCCATCTGCCGCGCCAAAGATGCATGTAGAGAGGAGATGCTGGAGAGTCTCGAGCGTGACCCTTGGGGTCGCCCTTATCGTGCGGTGCGTCAAAAGCTCCGCACGTCGGGCCCCCCCCTTACGGAGACTCTCCAGCCCAGCTTCCTGCAGTAAGTGGTCGAGGGCCTATTCCCGCAGCGGGCGGAGCACACACCCCCGTCGATGGCTGCATCAGCCGGAGACGACGGGGGCAGCGAGGCTGATGTTCCGCCCGTCAGGGAATCGGAGTTGGGGGCGGCTGTTCTACGGATTAGATCCAAGAACACTGCCCCCGGGCCGGACGGGGTTCCAGCCCGAATGATGGCCCGAGCCCTCGACTACATGTCGGACCACCTCAGGGGGGTGTTGGACGCTAGCCTGGCGTCCAGACGCTTCCCTGAGCGCTGGAAATGCGGGAAGCTGGTCCTGCTGCAGAAGCCGGGACGGCCTGCCGAATCGGTCGCGGCCTATAGGCCTATCGTGTTGCTGGACGAGGCGGGTAAACTTTTTGAGAGGGTGCTCTCTGCCCGCATCGTCCGGCACCTTTGCGAGGTTGGCCCCGATCTGTCGGACGCCCAATTCGGTTTCCGAGCGGGGCGTTCGACGATCGATGCCGTAATGCGCCTTAGGGCCGTGACCGAGGAGGCCGTGAGCTGCGGTGGAGTGGTGTTGGCGGTGTCCTTGGACATCGCCAACGCCTTCAATAGTCTGCCATTCAGCTGCATCAGGGAAGCGCTCCGCTACCACGGAGTGCCAGAGTACCTGAGGCGGCTGGTGGCAGATTATCTTGAGGAGCGAACCGTCATGTACGAGGACCGAAATGGCGTCTTGAGACGCAGGGCCATGTCGTGCGGTGTTCCGTAGGGGTCTGTCCTAGGACCTCTCCTGTGGAACATCGGATACGACTGGGCCCTACGAGGGCGTCTCCCCCCCGGGCTGGGTGTAATCTGCTACACGGATGACACCTTACTCACGGCCCGGGGGCTAACTTCCAGGAGGCGGCGCGCCTGGCCGCCATGGGAGTTTCCCAGGTGGTCGGGCGCATTGAGGCGTTGGGATTACGGGTGGCCCTGGATAAGACGTAGGCCCTATTATTTTATTGGCCCCTGTCGTGGTCCACCCGCTGGCGCCTCAATCGAGGTCGGCTCGGTCCTCGTACCGGTCCGGGCCCAGATGAGGTACCTGGGTCTGGTCCTAGACGGTAGGTGGCTCTTCGACGAGCACTTCCGACAGCTTGGTCCGAAGCTGGTGGACACTGCCTCCGCCCTAGGGCGACTTTTGCCCAATTTGGGCGGGACCAGTGTTCCCACGAGGCGGCTGTACGCGGGGGTTGTCCGGTCCATGGCGCTTTATGGTGCACCGGTGTGGGTGGCGGCTCTGACCGCCCCGAATAGGGCGCGCCTCTGGCGCACCCATAGGATATTGGCGGTCAGAGCCATACGCGGATACCGCACGGTGTCCACCGAGGCGGCTTGCGCCTTGGCCGGAACACCCCCGTGGGATTTGGAGGCGGAAGTGCTCGCCGAAGTTTATCGGCGAGTGGCTGACTTCCGGGCGGAGAGCGGATTTCGCCCTCCGCCCGAGGACGTGCGCGAGTGGCGCGAAGCCGCTCGCCGAGCCACCATGGTCAGATGGTCGTTCCGGCTGGAGACTCCACGCGCTGGCTTCGCCGCCGTGGAGGCTCTCCAGGCGGTCATCGCCGAATGGGCAGGGCGGCAGCACGGGACCCTTTCCTTCCGGCTGACGCAGGTGCTTTCCGGGCACGGTTGCTTCGGAAAGTACCTGCACTCGGTCGCTAGGAGGGAACTGAGTCCCGCCTGCCACCACTGCGACTGCAGTGAGGACTCGGCCCAGCACACGCTGGCGGTCTGCCCCGCATGTACGACGCAGCGACGGGCCCTCACTGCAGTCATCGGAGCAGATCTCTCGCTACCGGCCGTAATTCGCTCCATGGCCGGTAGCGACAGTTGTTTTACCGCGGTCGCAACCTTCTGCGAGGAGGTAATCTCGCAGAAGGAGGCGGCGGAGAAGGCCCGGGAGGACGACCTCCACTCGGACCCGATCCGCCGCCGGCGAACCGGGCGGCGGAGGCGCGCTTACCTGCGCCTCATGCCGCCCTGAGTGTGGCCGCGGGTGAACGGGGTGGGTTTCCCCTCCACCCGCATTAGTTTGGCCAGCCGCGAGGGGGCGGCGTCCGCGTGTGCCGGACGTCGCCTAAAGAGAGGAAAATTTTGAGACGGGGCCCGCAATAGGAGCGGGCCGGCGCTAGGAGGGGTCCAGAAGGCGATAACTACCTGGACCCCTCCTAAACTGGAAGCGCAAAGAGGGCACACCGTGTGGTTTTAGTCGGTTCGAGTCCGACACACCACCCCGCCGCAAACCCCGGTGGGGTGACGGTCCGAGGGGATTTCCACACGTTAAAAAAAAAAAAAATTGGTTAATCAACCTAGTTTAGGAGACAGAGCACCTATCAAAATGTAACTTTGATGGTTCAATAAACTTGTTTGTTTGTTTGTTTGAAATTTGTTTAAAGCTTACACGGTTTTTGTTCGATCGTTACTCATCCATCAGGGTAGGAAAACTGTCTATACACATGTCGCACCTCTGCTCGTAGGGCTTTTGGGACCGGGACCGTGGTCCCAAATTAAACGTTCAGATCAATAATTATTTTTGAGTAGCATATTGGGACGATGGACCGACGTCTTGAGGAAAATGTCTGGCAGCGGATGGATGCGGATTGCCCAAGACCGGCATGGTTGACTCTCCTTGATTGGAGGCCTTCGTTCAGCAGTGAACGGCAATAGGCTGATGATGAGCATATTGTGACCACTAATAAAAAACAAAATTAGAAGCTATATAAATAAAAGTATTTTTAAAACGATAAAATATTTCTTATTTTTCAAGAATGGCACACATAGGGCTCAGAAAAATTATCGTGCTCATAACACAATTATTTGTTTTGACTGAAAATCGAACCCACATCCTCTTGCTTAGCAGTCAGGGTCACTATCCACTAGACCAACGGGCAAGTCAATAAGTATTTTGCTTAAGATATAACTCCACTTATTAGGCACTTACGTTATTTTTACACTGGTTCCCAGAAATCATCCTATAAATAGGTGAAATGGGGTGGGGTAGAAGTTTGTATGGGGAATCAATGGAGACGGTTTGAGTTGTGGGGATAGACATAGTACACGTAATTTTTACCGCGATAACCAACATATCGTTATTTAGTTACAACTGTCTTATATACTTTCTTTTCATGACACTAAAGGTTTGCTGGGAGACAACTCTGTTGAGTACATGCACAAAAGCGCCAGTTAATCATTGTTATGAGTTAAGCATGTCTTTGTACCACTTCTTACTGTATATAATATGTTTGATATATGTTTTGTACAATAAAAAATATGACTGTGCAGTTGATCGTTTATAATTCTTACTGTTGACATTATGCCATATGATATACTAGTATAAAAAATTAAGTCTTGTTAAGGCACAAATCGGCTAGACCGGAGTGATACCGGCTACTCGTTTGTGACTCCTGAGTTGCAGACGTTCATGGCTGGCGATGGACACTTTTCATCAGGTGACCCGTCTGCTTGTCTGCCCACTCTAACATGAAAAAAAAACCAAGGTCTGGCAGAAAACCGGTGTTAAGCGATTCTTTCGGTACTTTACACCGAGTGAGTGAGGTTAGCCCGGAGTCTCTGTTCCCCTCTCAGTAACTATGGGGATAAGAAATCAAAGAGTACCTCTAAAACCATCGGGGCTGTTTCATATTTATCTAAAACTACCTTATTGGTTACTGAACTAGTAGATGAATTTGCATCTGGTGTACCATAAATACTATCAAAGGGTAAATGTATTTACACATCTAAAATGTATATACGATATGAGAGTTTAAAAATAAATTATGTAGATGATGTCAGATAGAAATGATCAAATTACGTAATTCATAGCCTGTTATATTTCTCAATTAGCCATCGATATTTTCCACAATTAGTTTCCAATTTCATAACTTCGTTGGCATACGGTATTGATATTAATTAACGAGAAATTCCTAGATTCCTTACTGTGTTACTTTATAATGTATCGTTTATTTTCTATGGAAAGTTTCGCTGGAAATCCTCTTAGCCGCTGTGATGTCGAGAGTACTTTGACAGGATTATACGAGCCTAAATAGATCTATTAATATCTTCAGCAAAGGGAGGCCCGAAAGACCAGTAAAATATTCCTCATTTTACAAAGAATAACTATTTTGGTCACAAAGATAACTAAATAGTTTAAAAGATCTTGTGTTTCGAAAATAGAAAACCATAAAGACGTGGTCTTATGAATGACTGATTGCTATATGTATATTTGTTATATGATAATTATTATCTGTATTGATATAATTATCACCATCTTATTCCTTCCCTTTTCTCAAATTTAATTAAGGATAGGCGCAATATGATATATTGTTAAACTTTAAAATACAAAATTAGGAAATAACTTCAACACGAAACATTTTTTTTGTGTCTACTAACTTTATTTAGGTATCAATAAGTAAATGTGTTCTAATGGCTTATTATTTTTTATGACAACCAACTAAAACAATGTTACATTAGGAAATGGTTTACCTATATTTAAAATAAGTGAGAACTTTTATATCGTAATGCAGGGTTAGTTCTTTTTACTGCGTGGTTCGGTGTCTCTTCATTAAATGGCATTGTTCACGAAGATTACATGCACAAAGAGGCCTACCTGGCGCCGATCAGGAGGATGGGCGTCAGCTAGGCCCCTTTGTGATGTAGTATTTTTCAGAAGAGATAAAGGATAAGCTACATTGACGTAAGGATAGAATGGACGGAGAGGAGATTGAGCGTAAGAGATAACGCAAGTCTCGGATGGGGAAACGGAACTGAGACTGGAATAGCCCCGTAAGGCCGGGTTTCATACTCATATATCTGTCATGTAATTTATACGCCTATTTGTGCCGAAACATGCCTATCCTACCTTAAAGTTGTTTAATGTTTACACAAGCATCGTGTGTCTTGTTGGAAAGAGTCCATTAATACGTCTGTGTTCATTGGTATTTAGACACGTCGACTGCACGGATGGCGTAGAGGTTTAAGCGGTAACCACACCGTTTCCTACAAATTCTACTAATTGTTGTTCTGAGTCTGGGTGTTCTTTGTGTCCGTTTCATACATGTTTGTAAAGTACACATGATATATTCCTAATGCGGGAGTTGTCTTTAAAAAAATAAAAACTGGAGAAGCCATTAGGACCGGGAGATCAACTATGCTACACGATATATCTTTCAATTTAGTTTTTAAAAAAAAATCCATACGTTCGAAATTCGATTACAAAAAAAACTGCGAACAATACCGAAAAAGACTGCGAACAATACCGAAACTAAAATTAACAACCGTTCAACGTTTTTAAGTTGGAAACTATAGTCGTTTCTCCCCTCGCTTGATGTCATGCAATCCATAAGAACTACCTTCACCCAAGTAGTTATCATAAAAGAAGATATCTGTCGTCGCACGTAAACGTACCCTCAAACCTAATTGATGCTTGACACACACAAGGATGAAATCTAATCTCTGTATTCTTACGACAGAGTTTATTTTCGCTTGATTGTTATTCATGCTTCGTTTGATTGTTGGTTCTGTTCTATCAGAGGCTCAGTCAATTAGCAAGATAGTGAAAGCAATCAAACTAGTGCAACGTCAAAAGTCGTCATTTTAAATGTTAACTCATTCTCTTTGAATTTACAACGTTTGAAATCCAAGTCAAGCTAATTTAGAGTTGGTTCGCAGCCATTTTACATTAAAAAAGGAACATATTGAATTGTTGTCGCTGTGAAAAGTTGTTGGAACTTTCATATGCACACGGGTCGTATATTTAAATAAGGTGTATAAACGGGTTATTCATCGTTTCGGACCGGTTTACTTTGGCCCCTCGGGCCTAAACGACGATTTACAAAACGAATTTGTCAGTTGGGCCTACGCTATTTAGGCTTATTAAGAAAATTAATACATAAGGTGCAATTAATAGTGCTGTAAGTATACTATATAATTTTAGATCAAAGATGTACATTTTCTTCTAAAGTTAAATATGACAACGTGTTGTTAAATATGACAACGTGTTGTTAAACATTGATGTCTTTTTAATATACAACCTGGGATTGTACAAAAGCTATATAAGCATTCATAGTAATGTATATCATATACAAAATATGAATAATTTAATAATATTAGTTCTTGTACGTATACTTAATAATGTTTAACATGTATCATAATGAAATTGCTGTTTAGCGGTGGCATAAGCTTGTTTATGTATATTGTTATGTCTTTTCAAGATCAGTTGACTTTAACGGTTACTGCTACGCTCCTACGGATCATAGTCTATGTATGTATATACGTGTCCATCTAACTAACGAACCTTGAGTTATATAACATTAAAATGTAAAGAATATTCTTAGTGATACAATAAACTAACCCTTATGTAATCCATCAAGTCACCAGTCATGATATACTGCCTCCAAACAGACAGTTTTCTTAAACTTTCATAAATCATCTGTGGTGACACCTGAAAAAAATATACTATTATAATAAACCTGTTATGGGTGACTCTCTTCGTCTTAGGGCGTGTATACCCTTTTATATTTCAAGGAGACAAGTGCGGTACCCTATAGTTTACCCTTAAATTAAGAGGTAGCTCTTGTGACATACACTGCCTACAATTTTAGTATATATATATTGCGAGATGATTTTATAATATCTATAAGAAAAAAAAATGAGATTACCGAGTTCTAAGGATCTTTTTATCTTTACAGCACTAATACTATATTAATGTAATATAAATATAATAATAAATAATATTCGTGACGTTTTTTTTTATTCTATTAAAAAGACATCTCCCGCACTAGGAATGAATCCTGTCGCGGGGTACTTTACAAACATACATGAAACGGACACAAAGAACACCCAGACTTAGAACAATAATTTGTGACTCACACAAAGTGTCGTCCCATGTGGGGATCGGACCCACAGCACTCAGCATAGTAGCATTTTGTTAAAGTAACTAGTTTCAGTTTAATTTTTTTTTTTCATCAAATTGTGGTGACGGATTAAGAAACGAATTATCACCGCCCCTGTATCGTAAGAGCCAAACTAAGGGAATAATAATACGGAAAACTTGAAACAAACTATACCAACTTGTCTGGCCAGCGTGGTATAGTAGGCCAAAACCTCCTTTCTAAGGAGAGGCCTATGTCCAGCAGTGGTATTGAATGCTGTTGATGATGATAAATAAGTAAATTATAGAAGTAATATTAAAAATGTGTAATGTCTTATGTAGCTGACTAACTAAATATACACATATCAGTAAATATTGTAAAAGAATAAATAAATAATTAAATATCCGCATGTTAAGGTAAGGAACTTTAACATGCGGATATGTTAAATAAAACCTCGACTCGTCTTACACACACCTGTCTGATCCTAAATTAGGCAGAGCCTGTGGTGTGGTATTAACATACTTTTATATTTCTAAATACATACATTTATATAAAAATTATACCTAGACAAAATAATAATATAAAGCCAACAGGCCAGTCAAATCCATACAATAAATTGGTGATTCTTTTACCACCGTATCATAATATCTTTTGGTGCTCCAATTAATATATTAAATGTACCATGGCGTTTCAAACTCGTACAAGGACGAACTATGTACCGCTTTGTTGGTCATTTAAAATGGGTCGTTTAAATCTCAATGACGCTGTTCCGAGGACCCGTTTATTTCAAGTTAACTGCACACAGCATATTTAAAGCTCCTTTTATGCCAGATTGCCCCTAATGTGTCCTCGAGAGTAAAAAACCGGCGGTATCTTTATTTATTTGTTTCATTCATTTAAGGTTCTTTAGAGACCTTCATAATTGTGGCATATTATCCCAAACAGGGTAGGCAGAGGCGTATAAAACGCCCACATTTTGTCAACCATAATTTCAACTTTTTGCCTTGATGGCAAAAAGTTTAAGGGATTAGATAAGAAAATTGGAAGTCTATTGAAAATAAAGGGTAGTTAAGGAATGGGCAATTGTATAAAGAGATATTTCATGTGGAATTTGCACATGGATGTGCCAAGGTAAGTAATAGCTCCAGCAATTAAAGGTCGCGTATCTGTAAGTCGAAATGGCTTTTGTTGGAAAATGTGAATCCTCCATATACACATGATAATACTATAAACACGGCTGTGTGTATAATATTAGTATATATTTTTTGAATTTTGTTTTACTACGTCAGCAGCTGCTGCGTGAAAATACATCACAGAGTGAATAAAAAACAGCTGCGTTTAACTGGTAACAGACTGAACGTAAACAGAGAGTGTTTTATCTTATTTCATTTTTTGTATTTATATTGTATATTTTATTCCAGCTATCACCCGCTATCATGGATTTCATGTTTCTAACTTTAAAAATGACGAAGTTAAATCCAACCGTTCATACCTTATTTACTAACTCTTTATTGTACAATAAAAACATAGTAAAAAATACAGTTTGTATACATTGGTGTGTCTTATAATCTAAAATTATATAAATGAAACATATGAAGTAAAATATTAAAAGCTGTACAATTGGCGGCCTTATGGCGATTTGCGATCTCTTCCAGGCAACTTCTAGATGGAGAAGGGGTGAAATTTAACCGACTTCAAAAAAGGAGGACGCTATCAATTCGGATGTTTTTTTTTTCTATGTATGTTCGGACATAACTCCATCATATAGACAGATTTTCAATATATTTTTGTTATGTTTGAAAGGGGTTTATGCCGAAATGGTTCCATTTAAATTTCATATAGATCTGATGATGGATTTCTGAGACAGACAACGGCACTCTTCAAAAAATGACTGACTGAAATAAATGACTCTGAAAAATGTTTTTAGTGCTCTTTGTTAGTACTGTTTGAAGTCGGTTCAACTTTTTTTAAAGGGGTTTGCCAAAAATACTTTTTTAGTTCTTCAATTTTTCAAGTTTGTAGCCCCAGCGGTTTTAGGCTCTACGCTGATGAATCTGTCAGTCAGGGCAAGTTATTTTATATGTTTAGATAAGTTGTAGCTTTCTGGGCTGCTTTTCTTCACTACGATAAATTTCTAAACTATGTTTAAAATGCAAGCTAAAATGTTCTCTTTGCGTATTAACGTAAATACCGTGCTTTTGTGCAGAAACAATACCATCTGATTTTGTCAGTTTCACATGTGCTTCTTTTACATTAGAAGTATAGATAATACTAAATTATCAGGACGTATGAAATCGCCTTAGTCCCATATATATTACGGGCCGAAGCCATTCAATTTAAAGCTTGAAATTTTTGCATAATATGTGAGCGAATCGTAAATGACAGTGTGTAAACCGCAAGGATCACTGACGAATTGCGGTTAGGAACAAGCTACATTCATCTATGGACGTAATTATAATATGTAGTCAATATAGCTTTCATAATACAAGCTTTGCCTAGTTTGAAACTAGATGGCGTTGTGTGTTAAATGTCAGAAATATTATTATTATTAATTATCATCTCAAATCTATTTTGTTTACGTATCGCCATTAGTAATAATTAACTAGTTTTGTACAAATTAGTTAGTGAGGAAGAAAATCCGGGTATAACTAATACTACAAGTGTAGCCTGGTGGGTGTAGTCACCAGAGTCCAGAAGCAGAATAATTATGCCAGTTATGCGTAAATTTACACAACTATTGTGTAAATTGCTTTTGAGTAGCCGTAATGTTTGGTAGGCACTGCTTAACTTTATTAGTGAAACATAATTACCTCTTTCTCCGTAATCTTTATAAACCGTCTTAACAACTAAGACTAAAGCTGCATTGTCAGGTTAATTAAGCCTAAAACCTTTGTATCCAACCCTTAGAACGGACAATGAAAACAGCAACAGAGTTTCTTTGGACGTTTTATTGTTTATATTTTTTTAATAATACATTGAGTAATAATAAATACTAAGAAATTTATTATTAACCGACTTCAAAAATAAGGAGGTTATCAATTCGTATTTTTATAAAAAGAAATAAGTATGTTCGGGCATAACTCCGTCATATATAGACAGATTTCCAAAATTATTTTTTTGTTCGAAAGGTTTATATTCCGAAATGGTCTCATTTAAATTTCGTATAGATCTGATGTTGAGTTTCAGAGTAAAATGACAGCAAATCAATCGCGATTGCTGCTAGATTTTTAGTGCTTTTTGTAAGTATTGTTTGAAATCGGTTCAGCTTTTTATGAAAGGGACTTTCTGTTACTCAATATATTATTAACTCAGATTTCATGAAGCAGTCTAAGAGTTAACATAGTTGCATGTAACTTAAACCTATTTTAAGTTACCTGCACTCGAACGTTAAGTAAAATTTGTAGTTCAGCTGTTCATGTGCAGCAGTAGTACAACGTGTTTGTTTGTTAATTACAAAAAACACCAGTCTGGCTAGGCTATCGTATGAAAAGAAGCTAATGAACCATTAGGGACTTACCGGACTAAAAGTTCTCGGTCCGTCGGGTTCTAATTCGTTCGGAGTCGACGCCGTGTTGATGTACAGAGGAGAAAACATTGCGCTCCGGGAGCCAACCTGGATCATTTCTGCCCTGGGGATAAACCAACCTAGCAGTATATGGACTAGTATTATAATTTACGGTATGAAACAGGCAATATTCCACTTTTAAATTTTATGAACAAATTACTTTATTTAAAATAATTAAATTATTTCATTTTGCGATTGCGATTTCGCCAGACATTCAAGTGCATTATTGTCGGTTCAGAGGGCCAAGTGCGAGTTTATTTTACTTCTACGCAATCGTCACGGTGATCGCGTTCGGCGGTATAGTCTGAGAACTACTATTACTTAAAGTTCCGTATTCAGGCTTTTAAGATAGTCAACAAAGGGGAGTAACCCTTTAGCTTTTTGACGAGGATTAAAAAAACCATTTCTACAGACATAGCTATTTTTATTATAACATACGCACTCAAACCTAAGACAAAAGCGCGTATTCCTACCTCAAAGGCCAGCAACGCGCTTGTGACTCCCGAGTTGCAGATGTACGGACATGTATGGTGGTTGTCACTTTCCATCAGGTGACCCGTTTGCTTGTTTGCCCCCTCTAACATTAAAAAAAAACCTACGCTATGCCAAGAAACCCTATAGAAAAGAAAATGCGATCACTCGACACTAGTCTATACTTTCGTTGTTTAGTAGAGCCATGACAATATTATGGGGGAAAATACAAAATCATGCAAGAAATATTCTTTACTGAGTACACGTTATTGGAGATTGTACGTCTTTCAATGGCCTTCGATTAACTTAAAATTTCTTAGATTAACTTAAGATTTCTTTTAAAGACGAACCCCTCTCCATCCCCAAGATGTATCCAGTTTGAAGAGATATCTTCTATAGCCCTATGTATTGTATTCCTTGTAGCATGTTTTGTCCAGTACCTTAAGGTTCTGCCTTGTCAGTGCATAGCGAAATTTATCCCGTTGGTACAACTATATCTTTACTGTAATCGTGGAAGTAACACCCTACTAGAAAGTTTGTTTATCGTTGCTTGTTCGTGGTTGAAAAAAATGTGTTTCCTTGTTATAAGAGAATTATCATGAGATTTGAAGATTTTTAGATGTCCGTTGGTGGTACATGGCATGGATCAAGTCTTGCGTGAAGACGATCGTTTAAAACACACTGTTAATTTCGACCATATTAAGAACGCTAACCTCCATAAAGACTGACATCTCATTTTATAGTTCCTGACTAAAGCACAAGTACACAGGTATGAGTGCTATGGCTGTCGAACCAATTATCTTAAATAACCCAACCTGAAACTCGTTTTATGCGCTTTGCCTTTAGCCTGCCTCCATCTATCATCATTCTTCTTCGCCGCAGTCTTGCTCTATATCTGCGTTTTTGCTCGCGCCAATATCTGACGACAAATCCTTCGCTCTAACTTATTCAATAAGTCAAACAAACATCAAAACAATAGGTTTATTTTTACAAAAAAATTTAATACATTTAAATTTCAAGACAAGTCTACCTTCTGCGACAGCATCGGTGTCCACAATGCGAGCATAGTTGCACTCTGGAGACACTTCTCGAAGATAATCTTGTGTATATAGTAGTCACTGATGGATCCTCTTTTATCTCTTGTCTAACCCGCGGTTTTCTTCTCGAGAACCGTTTCATTTCACGCCTTGAGTAAGACCTATGTCTCTTCTCCACCCGTCCAGCGCGTCTCATTATTTTTCTTTTCTTTCTTATTTGAGATTTCGGTTCTCTTTCTCGTTTAGTAACGATAGGGACCTTTGGAGCATCTGATCTTATATCTGCCATATCTACTCTGCTCCTCGCAAAATAGGAACCAGTCACCGAAGTTTCACTATTAGTTTCTGTTTCATCACGCCTCGTATTATCGATCATGTTTTCATCCGGACTTGCTTTTTTACTTGTGGAAGGCTGATCTTCCTCTTTCGTTTCCTTTTCATCTTCCATTGCCAATATTTTCCTGATATAACTGATAATTTTGTGCTTTTATACTTAAAAAATTACATAAAAAATGTTTTAACTATCTACGCGACGGGTATCGCAGCCACCTTCATTTGTTTTTTAGTCTTGTTTGTGAATTGTCATTGTGAAGGTTTTATTGAAAGAAGGGAAAAGAGTATTCAGTATTGAAGTTCGATTGAAATTTCTAACCTATTTTATAGTCGCACGATAATTTCATCATTAAAAATAAAGTGTTCGTATTAAAAGGTAGATAATGATGATAATGATAAATAAAATAATGATAAAATAATGAAAAAAATAATAATAAAATAATAATAATGATAATGATAATGATAATGATAATGATGATGATGATGATTAAAAGGTAGATAATAAAAGATATTCTATCCCTCTTTACGTCTAAAATTACTAGTTCATTCACATATACTTACTAAATATTTAAAGATCAAAGTGTGAGATCAGGTGAGTATTTAACCCATAATCTTAACTGATTTTTAGTGAATCATTTGATTTGTCTTTTTGGGGCATTCTCCACAAATATTCCCATGTGTACATTTTTACTACTGCTTATTTTTAATGCATAAGTATCTTAAAAGATGAATATATTTGTACCTCTATATGGTTATTTTTTACTGGGGCCTATAACTCTTTAAACCCCGGTGTTAGTGTCAGCAACTGAGTTACCAGTAGCAATCCAAATTAAGCAATGAACTTATTAATTGATTCTAGTTGGATATAATAATAATAATATTCTACCACATACACACAACGCCATCTAGTCCCAAACTAAGCAGAGCTTGTACTATGGATACTAGACAACTGATATAAATACATATATATATATTTTTTTTTTTTTTTTTTTTTTTTTTTTTTTTTTTTTTTTTTTTTTTTTTTTTTGTAAATACATACATATTATACATAGAAACACCCAGACCAAATCAAACATCAAATGTTCATGCACACAAATGTTTGACTTGAGCGGGAATCGAACCCGCGACCTTTGGAATAGCAGTCCGTTACACAAACCACTACGCCATTCGGTCGTCAAACTAAATAAACCTGGGTAACTACGTAAATAGCACTATGCTAAGGACGAGCTAAGTTGATAGAAATTTTGAATGTCTATATCTCTCTTCTTTAGATGCTGGTGCGGCCTCAGCAAGACGGCGCATGGCTCAAACATTCAAACCGCTAACCCTGGAGAAGCATGGGTTCCAGCAAGGCACACGCAAGCTACGCCTACTGACGCCTATGGTACTGTAGAATTCCAGGGGGGTCCACATCCCACCAAAGCTCAGGTAAGCCTGCTAGAAGTAATTATAGCTTATTTTTAATTTACAGTTTTTTTATGCAGCAACAAGAAAAACATTGTATACATTATTTTATGCAAGGTCGTATTAAACCCACTTTACTCACAAAAATAGTTTCAGTATCTCGTTCCGTTTATATTGTATCTTTTTCATAATTTGCCATAAATATTAAAAAAAGGAAAATATAGATATACTAGAATCTGATGGCACAATTGATAATTGACAAAAACTTCTTGATGGTTGATAGTTGATTTTAATTTTACCTTAATAACATGAAGTCTATGGTAAGTGTGAATTTGTTTATTGATTAGATAGAAACATAATAATTAATACTTCGTAAATATAATATATTTTTATAGAATTACAAAAGAACTATAACATTTCGTATTTATTGTATTCTGGAATTGATTAAGACAAAGTTAAGACAAAGAAGTATTTATAGAAACCGTTCTTCGAGCCTTTTAATCAAGTGAGCCGGTTCCGATACAAACAGTTTCAATTTTCATCATTTGTTAATAACATTTACAACACTCATCTGCAAAATATTGTAAGAAAACTACTTCTGTTAATATGTTAATGTAAGCCCATAGAACAAAAGTAATTAAGAACATGCTTTACAGTTCAAGTACAATGAAAATAAATCATAGTTTCTTTTATCAACTTAACGATTCTCTTTCTCCATTGAAATCAATATTTTCTTGTAGAATATGTAATAATTCCATTACAGTTGAAGTTTTTCAAGTTTTTTTATTCCATCTTTCCTCTTTTTACCAGGCGTAGAGAGTACACCAATATTCCTGCAGCATTAATTTGTGGCACAATAGTATTAGAAAGAAACATCTTTAAAACAAAATTTTGTTAAATGTTTCAGGACTTGACAATCATTATCATAGGTTAATCACTTTGGTATATACATACAAAAAATAAAGTATCAAAATTATAATTAACTATAATATAAAACTGTCAAAAATCGAAACTTGACGTAACAGATGACAAATTAATATTGCCATATGAAAATCGGATTACGCTTAATTTTGATTGTGCCATGAGATTCTGGTACATATATAACTACCTAATGTCACTGTATTATAAATCAACCTCATTGATAGCTGAATCGGCGTGTTAAAGAAACTCGATTACCAGATGGAGCTCTTAATAAAGCTTTATTTGTAATAGTGACAATTACGACTTGTTGCTAAATAACATTACTTGAATAAACTGTTGCACAATGAACTATAGAAGCATTAACCTTCAGTAAAAACGATGTTTTTTTCTACAAACAGTATGTTCGCCTCTCGCACGATACTCGCCCAGAACTGATCGTGCAGTTACTTACCAGAGAATGGGCCTTGGATCGACCGAAACTGCTCATCACGATTCAGGGTGGCAAGGCAAATTTCGATCTGCAGCCGAAGCTTAAAAAGGTGCTGAGAAAAGGACTGCTCAAGGCCGCGAAAACCACTGGAGCTTGGATATTCACTGGAGGGACCAATACAGGTACATTTTGTTTTTAAAATAGGCACGCATTAGAGAACGATTTCGAAGGGGGTTAAAACCTACTAAGGAACTCCTCGATGACACCAACCTGTTTGTGACGATGTGAGTGACACATGACTTCATATCAAAAAATGGTCACAGCCACTGCCGATAGCTGCAGATACCGTCAGATCGTCACAGCTTGAGACTTCAAATTAGTCGCCTAGGTTCTAAAAGCTTAGGGAAAAACATATATAAAGGAGTATGGCCATTAAAGCATGGACTTCGGTTTTACGTTGTCCATTCATGAAACACCTCGTTTTGTGGGGCTTTAATTGCTTATTAGAACACAACAAATATAATATTTCTAATTTGATGGATTTAAGTAGAAAAGGCTAAAGAGGTTTGATAAATTATGTTATTATTTATAAAAGCAAACTGCATATATTTGCAAGTAAAAACACGACAAATACTTTTACAATACAATTTAAATACAATAGATTTATTCAAATAATAACTATGTAATAGCTGTTCCCACTTTTGTACATTGATATTGCGCTAAATTTTACCTATTTTTTTAGGGGTAGATATTATAATATGTTTTTCCTTATAAGTGTTATTATTTTATTTTATTTTTATTTGTATCATTAAATTTCTTTTCTTATTGATAGTGCAAATCGATAAAATCAATAAATCGACTAATTTGAACCATAGTACAACATTATGCTTGCTCGTTTGCAACATTAAAAAAAAAAAGGCTGATTTGAGCTGTCACTTTGGACGATCTAATTAAAAGTCGCCTTCGTCCATATTCGTAACTAAACTTACCTAACCAGTTACAAGAAAAGATTTGGTAACTAGTTCTGAGAGTAGAATTATTGTTTCTCTTTTGTAGATCAAATTATTTCCATTTTTGTAACCCGAGATGTTAGTTTAGGTAAATAAAAGCAAAAGAACACCGAAATAATAAAATGCTGAAAAAGCCTGCGGTATAATGTTTTTTTACCTTTTTATCTTGTAACTCGTCAAGTATATTTAGTTACTAACCTGGTTTTAGTTACTGAAAGGATTTTTCAGGTAATATTCCTACTGCTTTATTGAAAACATTTTTAAAACGTTTTATATGCATTACACAAATTATTAGATATCAGCATTTATTGGCACCTTTGGGTACCTATTGGATTAATAAACAACATTACAACGTTACAACATATATATTAAGTAAAAGAAAAAAATGTAAATTGTAGAAATGAAATTTAAATCATTAAAGGAGCAATAACCTCCAAACAATGTCCGACTGTAATTTATTTATCTTTAGACTGGTCTAAAGTTGCATTGATTTTCGCAATAATTTCATCATAATTGTTGTTTTTCCCTTGTTTAGCTGGCGAATCTTTGATTTAATTTTTGTTTCCTTAACGTTTTGGATATTCTAATATCCAAAACTTTTGCGATGGATGGGTTTTTCTTTTCCACAAAACGATTAATTCTTGAATGCCATCCTTCCAAATAGTTATTACTTCTCATCTGTTCCTTTTCACAACACCATATTTTCATAAAATTTAATCTTGCAGCCAATAACGATCGAAGTATTAATTAAATTTCGTATTTCGTTATTGGGCGATCTCTGCATGACATAACTGTAACCACAACTAATATATTTTAAAGGCAATCGGGCTACACCTGCACATCGTGCAACATGCCGCCTCTGAACTCTTGACATGATTTTGCATTAGTGGTAAAAGCAACTTCTTTTAAGTGGTGTCCACTAAGGGAATTAAATTTTAACTAAATCAAATAGAATTTCATATGTTTTTTTTTCTTGTCTTCAAGAAAAGCAAAGAACAATGGTACTATTTTTTTGGTTATAGTATTGTAGCCATGAACAGTATATAATTGTATGAATGGAGGTGGAGACCTTAAAAATACCATCTATTATAAATGAGTCAAAGTCACTTAGTGAAATCTCAGGGTGGCAGAAAACTACAATTCTAATATCATCTTTGTAGTCAGCCATTAAAAAATTATCAAACATTTGGGTACTGCCACATCTTCTGGCCGTTGACAGTGTAGTTTGGTCACATTTAAGTGTTTGTTCCTTTACCATTTTATTCGTATAAATAAAATAAATTTATAAAGTTTCCTAATACCTTTACTGCTATATTTTTTTCTACTGTCCTTTTTCTTTTTTTTTTCTCTACTGTCCCAAAGAACCACAAACAGAAACTATTGAAATCACAACAATTCCCTCTTGGTATTCAAAATATTTTCAACCTATTAACTAATAAATCTACCTCCCACCTAGACATTGGCAAAATCATCGACATCCGATGGAGCCACTGAATTAAAGGAAGAAGAAGAAGTGTTTGTTTCTACCGTTATACAAACTGCTCTTAACACTGCTGAATGAGGGCAGATCCGAAATTAAATGCGCGCCGCTATACTTAAGTTTACACACTACTTGCTCATATTGTTTTCGAACTGGTTTATAATTGGAACAAATTCGATTTTTTAAGTCAAAAAACGTTTTTTAAATTTGGAATTCGGTAATATTTGGCTGGCAATCGGGGTTGTGAGTGTTTTCTTTAACAACGTTGTGTTCACGGCTCGTTATACTCCCCTTGCAACTTAATCTGTTGCATAGCCAAAATTTATTGCCACTGACATAGTTTAGGTTAGTCCGTGTGGCGACGGATTAAGAATACAGAGTGTCACCACCCCTATTCGTCCCGTGGGTATCGTAAGAGGTGACTAAGGAAGCAAGCTACGCAGGACAACAGCACTGCAGAGAGAAGGAAAACTTGACACAAACCCTATACCAACCCGTCTGGCCAGCGTGGTATAGTAGGCCAAAACCTCCGTTCTAAGGAGAGGCCTATGTTCAGCAGTGGACTAGTAAAGGCTGTTGATGATGATGATGATGATGATATACGTTTTCCGTAAATGGTATTCGCGTCCATCATATAGAAGCTTCATGCCATCTCTTTTAGTTGATAAAAAATAGCTTTCTCCACTAATAACTGATAAAATTCTGAATTTATTTTTTATCCGTTTGACACACATCACATATAATAACTATAATTTATGACTGTCAGTCATTAATATCTTTTTACCATTCATCATTCATCGGTCATTGACCAGTGACTAAACAAAGAATATGAATTCATTGAACGTTCATAACTAACAAATAGTTACAAAAGTGGATTAATAATTCTTCTCTCACAACTAGTTACCAAACAGCGAACGAAAAAAATTATTTTGTAACTGGTTAGGGAAGTTAAATTACCAAAGTGGAATAATAATGCTTCTTTCACAACTAGTCACCAAACAACGAAAAAAAGTCTTCTCTTGTAATTGGTTAAGTAATTTCAGTTACGAACATGGATGTAGGCTAAAAATCAGACTATAGTAGATTACCAAACGACTTACAGAAAGAAACAAGCAATGTCTATAAACCACGGAGCAAAAACCTAAGAGGAGAGGGCATAAGCAACTGTGCACTGATTTTAACTAGGTCCTGACGTCATTACAGTGGGCGAGGCTTAAATTTAGCACAGTCAGCGTCCGTGCAGGGCCTCATTTCTGCTATTTTATGTTAACGCCAAGCCCCTGTCATTCCATTGACACGCTTTTAAGATGCCACTGAGACGCCATTGACATCGGTCAAAATATCAGTATTCTACTAACAGCAATTCACAGTGTCAATAGACTGTCGATATAGTAATATGGGTCATCAATGACATTGCCATACCTGGAAAATAAAGTATATCATTTTCTTATAAATTTAAAATGTACCGTTTACCAAACTATTACAAAGACATCGACGACATTTGTATCAGTGACAAGTCCTCGAGAAGCCATTGGTCTTACATAGTTAGTCTTCGACAGTCTATTGATACAATATTAAATTGAGGCCCTGTGCGCTTATGTCGCATAGTCTCAAATCGGTATATTTTCATAGTATTAAGAAAAGGATGAAATTGTATTTTATCGTGTTAAAATAATTCGTATTTACATTTTGTTGCTATGGATGGGATCGCATTTTATTTGTGTAATTTTATTCTTGTTATTATAACGGTTCTGGAAAAATCTCTTAGTGTTTTTTTTTGGAATAAAGTTACTTCTAGATGACTAAACTTTGTGTTATTTAAACTAAAAATACAAAGATATGTAAAGCTTAGTTTTAGTCAGATAATACTGAAATATGATCTGCATTCATCCTAAAGAATTTTTAATAGCCAAAACAATATATTAAATTTTTTTGTAATCATTTTGTGAACAGACTGTCATCTATCGTCAACTAGAAAAAACATACATAAACTGAACAAAAAGACAGGTCCGAAATTGGAATCCAATGTTACATTCTTGTTCTTGTGTTACATTCTTATTGCCAAAAAATATTAATATGGACATGTGTTGCATTTCGTAAGTCCACCCAAGAAATAATGGTCATTTATGAGTTATAGCCACGGAGAAAATACAAAGATGTTTTGAAGAATGTTTGGTAGATGGAAAAAGTGTAGTGGGCGGAGCTTAACACCCCCTCACCCCGCAAATTATCACCCGTTATTTGATAGGAAATCTAATTACAACACCTCCTCTTTGTACATATTTGCTCCGTGCTATAAACGGATGATCGAATCCAGACCAGTACCCAAAGTAACAATGACAGCTTCAGTGTGGCCAGTTATGTAATATAGTGATACTTGAATTTATTGGAAATCCATAATGATTTAATCACATTAAAGTTTAGCGTTAGTTATTTGTAACTTAAAACAAAGCTATTTAATAGACATAAATTCACTACTGTAAATTTGTGTATATTACAAAACTTGATTTTTGTTATTGTGATAAAAACTCTTATTTTTTTAAATTGATTTGAAAGAATGACTACCCACACAAAACCATTTCCTTTTGCTAATGCTAATCGTAAACGGCACGCACAACAAAGCCTATCCCATTGTAATAGATTTTCTACATCCTAACGACGTTCAAACTAGGTCACTCAGATTGTTCTGCGTGTCCAATCGTTCGGAAATTGTGCGATACATTTAAAATTTACTACTGAACTCATGTGAGCATACTCGTAGTGTAAACCGTTTTATTTTAAGTCTGTGAGGTTTGTTTTATTGTTCGTCAAAAAAACGATTTTCATACTGGACCGATATATGAGTATTTTAAGAGACTGAACTCTGAACTCTTACTTCTCTTACTCCTATTTCACATAAATGCACATTAAAATTTTTAATAGTGAATCTTGTTGGAGGAGAAATTTTATACAAAGCTTGTCCTCTAGAACTTGGGGAAAACGAGTTCTTGAGTGGAGACCGCGTCTCGGCAAACGTAGTGTAGGACGCCCACAGGCCAGGTGGAGTGACGATTTGCAGAAGATGGCTGGCAGGAGCTGGATGCGAGAAGCCCAAAATCGATCTAAGTGGCGTGCAATGAGAGAGGCCTATGTCCATCTATGTAGAGCAGTGGGCTGCGATAGGCTGATGATGTTAATGATGATGATATCCTGTAGAAAGAGTCAGACTGGCCAAATATGTAATGTTAGAGTACGCCAAAATTTAATGAATCTTATTAAATATTCAGTATTCAAATATTACTTCAGAAATTAGTTTTGCACTACCCAAAGTACTTCTGACTGCACGGATGGCGTAGTTGTTTAAGCGGTCGCCACGCCGCTTACTGCTACGCTAAGTGTTGTGGGTCCGCCATGGGACGACACTTTGTGTGATCCACAAATTGTTTTTCTGAGTCTAGGTGTTCTTTGTTTCTTTGTATCCGTTTCATGTGTTTGTAAAGTCCCCCGCGACACAGGACGTATTCCTAGTGCAAGTTGTCTTTAAACAAAAAAAAAGTAACGAATTTTTCTACATCCAGAAAGTCTAATGCAGAAAATTATTCAAGTAATAAAATAACTTTTTTAGAATGAGGATAACAATCAGTATTCATTTCAGTTAATGTCTGTACATCGCCATGTCAAGTTTGTGCGCTCCGAAGCAATTAGTTTTAATTAGTTTTTTATTCGTCGATAAATTAATTTAGTGGCCTCCCATGAATAATAGTTAAATAAAATGGCTGGCAACATTTAAAGATTACTTAAAACGTTTATGAACAATTTTGGAACAATTTAATTTTGTTTAGGCTTCATTTTATTTTTTAATGACTCCATTACATGACAGAGTTTACTCAAATCAAATTCTATTCAAAGATTAGTATTTAGAATGCGATATTAAATGGACTGCTCTGTTAGTAAAACTAAATTTCACAGCCTTCTATAAACTGAGTGTAGACTTTCAACCATCCATAAAAAAAAAAAACAAAAAAAAAACTGAATTTCGTGCAAATATCAAACATAATTTCTGCAACTGGAATTAATCAAAATATTGATTCGTGCAACCAACATTTTTCAGATAATTAACAGACGTTTTAACAAACTTAGCTAAGTTTTGTGCTGTCTTAGCACTTTCTATATCACGAACCAGCGACTTACGACTTTACCTTAAATGTCTTCGTATAACTTCATTTGCAGTGAAAGCGCCGTAATGGCATTAGCGGCCTACATCAACTTGCACTTTGTTACATACCGTATGTGTTGGAAATAGTGCCACGTATTACAACACTGCACTCATTAAAATAAATCTCCAAAAGCATTTTATGAGAATAATTAAACGCACCAATAAAGTGCATGCAGAATTTAACATTTGACTGGTTAATAATGGTCTGTCAAGATAGTAAATCTTAACTTATTGTATAGAATTATTACGAGCGATGCCACAAGTATTTTGTAAATTTATTTTCTGTTTTCAATGTCAAGCATCTTCCCTCTCACTTTCCTGCAATCAGTGGGAATAATTGGCGAATAGAAACGGAAATAAATTACAGGATGACGACCTTATCTAATTTCGCAAAGTTTAAGTTAAAGCTAATTTTACAAGCTTTTGTGAAACTGGTTTGTAAATGTGTTTGTGAGTTCATAAATCCTGGTTGAACTGATTATTATTACTAATAAATAATTTAAAACAATATTATCTATGCTAATATAGTAAATCTGAATAACTTTTTTTTTCATTCTTTTTTCAAATGATTGATCAAGCAGTGATCAAAAATACTAGTAAAACTGCGGGGAACGGCTTGTTTATAAATATAATATAATTGATAGAGCGTGCTGAGAATCTCAAATTCTGACTAACCGTTTTGGCGTTAATATGTATGCACGTCTGTCTGTTTAATGTATCTAATAGGTTGTATATTCGAATTCTTTTATCGTACTACTATCGATTTTATTTTTTTTACTTCAAAAATATGCCCTTGGTAGATTTGCCTCTCAACATTTCCACAGAATTCCACCCATGATTACGCGACTGTTCACTGCCCCGCATTTCAATTAATTTCAAATTTTTGTTCAGGTGTAACACGGCAAGTAGGCGATGCGTTACAACTCGAGCGGTCTCAGCGAGCAGGAAGGGTAGTCAGCATCGGCATAGCACCATGGGGTATCGTGGAAGGTGCCAATGAGCTCATTGGCAAAGGCCGGGACGTGCCGTACCATGCAATAGCTTCACCGAGGTAAGAAAACTATATTTGTATTATATTGGAAACAAGTAATTCTGGCACAGGTATATAATTATATACATTTCGGAAATGGCTCTAGTGATTTACAGTAAATTTTGTATTAATTAATTTAATAATTTTGCATTGTTTACCTCTACAGGTATTTTTTCTGGAAACAAAGACGCTTTCACAACAAAAAAAAACAACACAGATTGTTTTATTTTATTTATTTTACTATTTCAAAATAAAATTTCAAATGCACCTTTTTAGGTTAAAATCTGTAGAAACTGGTGACGTTCACGATAAAATGCATTATCTTTTTATTTTAAAATTAAGGGTAATACCTAACTACTGCTTATTTTATTCCTATTCATATTCTACTTTTGATATTAGGTTAACAATTAAAAATAATTAACAATAATTTGCCTTTATATTAAAACTGAGTTGACGTTTTACTCTCGACGAACCTAGCGGGGAAGAACCTTCAAATACACTCAAAAGCTGTAGTTTTTCCAAGGTTTTGGCTTTCATGGATGATGTATTCAGAAAGATTTAAGAAGTCTTTCATTATCATTAATTTATAAACCACATTTCGACCAAGCAAGCACCACATTTCATAAATATTCAATATTGTGTGCATTTATAAAAACGCAATCTCTATGACATTCACCGCAATTCAAACTTGGTTTAGGTAAACGTAATCCATGTCAGTTTTAGCAACGGTATTCCGAATATTTTATTATGGTAACGTTAAACCAAATAATTTAATAAAACATAATTACATTTAATAAGGAACATAAACGAAATGACTTAGTGGTAACTTTATATGCCTATCACTTGAACGGGTCCGGAGTACTGATGATGGTTGCTGTGGTCAGAGCGTTTGTTTGCGCTTGGAACAGTACATCGTTGATAAGTTTCTCCGCCAATATCCTCGTGTTGGATGGAAGGTTGCGGAGTTTCGCTGCTACGTTTATACCTGAAACATGTAAAACCCTCAATTTCGTTCTTTATTCGAGACAAGCTTTACTCTAATTACGAATAGACATCAATTATATTGCTTATTTTGGTGACGGATTAAGAAAACGGAATGTCACAACCCCTATACATGCCGTGGGTGTTGTAAGAGGCGACTAAGGGAGCAAACGACGCAGGACAACAGCACTGCAAAGAGAAGGAAAACTTGAAACAAACTCTATACCAACCCGTCTAGCCAGCGTGGTATAGTAGGCCAAAACCTTATTTCTAAGGAGATGCCTTTGTCCAGCAGTGGACTATTATAGGCTGTTGATGTGATATTTTATTAAACCCCCGATCGAGATTTGTTTTTAAGTATGTATAAAAGAAATCTTTAAAAATACTTGTTTAAGTCTCTTTCTTACCTATCGCGTCATATTCATCTTCAATTTCTGTACAATGCCGCTTACTCTTTTCTTCTTCAAAGTTATTAAATCTCTTGTTCGAATTCTCTGGCATCTCTACCATATTGCTCGAATTGTATTCTGTGTAATTGTGCTCCATGCTTGTCTCGAAAGGGTGTTCTTCGTCCTCGTCTCCATCTTCTTCTGAATCCTGTAACAAGATATACTTTGTTTATTTATAGATTCATGTATAGCTATACCGATTTCTCTTCAAGCATCATTATGTAAATGGACAACATATTTGTATAGACTAGACTATCACTATATTATGCTCTAAATATATATATCTATACTAATATTATAAAGCTGAAGAGTTTGTTTGTTTGTTTGTTTGTTTGAACGCGCTAATCTCAGGAACTATTGGTCCGATTTGAAAAATTCTTTCAGTGTTAGATAGCCCATTTATCGAGGAAGGCTATAGGCTATATATCATCACGCTAAGACCAATAGGAGCGGAGCACCAATGAAGAATGTTTTAAAAACGGAGAAAATTTATTACTATTGAGAGACGCAGACGAAGTTGCGCGGGTCTACTAGTATATATATATATATATGTATATATAGCGTAGTGTTTTAAGCAGTCACCTCGCCTACTACGCTGAGTATCGGGGTTTCGATCCCAACACAACACTTTGTGTGATCCACAAATTGTTGTTCTGAGTCTGGGTGTTCTTTGTGTCCGTTTCATGAATGTTTGTAAAAAGTCCGCCGCGACATAGGATATTTTCCTACTGCGGGAGATATCTTTTAAAAAAAAGGACGACCTGTTTACACCACGGTGCGAATCGTTTTTGAAGACGAGGCGCCGTTTGTGATCACGGTGTAAATCGACGTCACCCTAAAGTATTTAAAATTACATGTTTCTCTGTCCGGAAAATTTTCTTAAGAGCAATCCATTTACAATTAATTCCCTAATGTTCACGTTAAATAAAACGTTAAATTCACAAATAAATAGATAAAGACAGATAGGTATTTCAATCTTGTTACTGGTTAAAAAAAAATACGGACTTCAACATTAAAATCGAAAAGATACAGTGAAACAGTGTGAAACAGTCTTTGAAATTCAAAATGTTGAAATGCAAAGCGAGAAAATGTCGGCAATCACTTTAACAATAAATCTAAGTGCCTGCGATGTTTGTAAAACTACTTTATAACGCTTATAGCTCCAGCACGTTCAATTCCTACGCCATTTAAAATTCAATTTGCTGGAAGCAAATCAGAGAGTGAAAATATGTCAGAACTGATAAAAGATACGTATTCATTTGGTTTCAATCCTTTTTACTAAACGAGTCGTATCCCCTTTTTCTTGACCTTAAGACACAGTTGTGAAATCATTGATGACTGTAAAGTAATCTACACAGTTCCTAGAGAAGTCGATTCATTATTGCCAGGCACTGTCTTTTAAACTGCACTTCCTCGTGCGTCTTTTAAGAGAAACGGAAGCACCTAAATAATGATTTCTTTACAAAAACTTCTTCAATTAGTTTTGTCTAAAATTTCGTCAATTCAATCACTCCCTAGGAATAGTATCGTTTTTTTTTTCAGACAAAATATATTAAAAAATATATTTAATATAAAATATATTTCAAAATATATTTTGTCAAGGGTACAGTAAAGGACCGTTTCCTTTACTGTACCCTTGACAAAATATATTTTCTAATGTTGTTAGGATGTAAATCATGTATAATATGTCAATAAATATTACTTTAACTTCGAATCCGTCTGGAATTTAAATATTGAGGACATAAGTACATCACAACAAGTCATTTAAATTTAATTTTTATAATATACATACATATTAAATTTTAAGTAAAGGATGAATGTCCCCGTTTATTGTCTGTAAATTCCTTATTTGGTATTTATTCGAATATTCGAATTCAGGTCTTGTTCCTGCTTCAGGAGCTCAAACAATCCCTTATATGCTACAGGTTGTTTATTTAAGCAAATTACGAGCTTCACACCTTGCAAATAACAGTCGCAATAAAGTATGTCATGAAATGAGGGTAACTCAAATACATCCTGGGAGAAAAGTGCTTGCTTATTATGTATTCAGACATATATCTAATATTTGCAAGTAGAGAATACTCTCCGGAACTTTTACGATTCGGACAGGCAGTAGTGTCTCGTAATAATGACATAATTGTCTAAGATTGACGTGGTTATATTGTATAAATTTCAAAATTGGGTAGGTAGAGTTGGTACTATCGGAATCAGACTGCTAACTGAAATTAAATCAAGTAACAAATTAAATAATCTTGCTCATCAAACCCACCTCTCTCGTGGTTATTATTGCTTTAAATATTCTGGAGTAAGTCCTTCATAGGTAAAACAATCACTTGTGCCAATAGAGTAAGTTTACTATCAAAAAATTGATTAGAATTCATCCCACGTGTGTGACCACAGAGAGGCAGATGTTCTTTGAAATTAAAAACATAAATTAAAGTAATTAATTAATAAGATACATTTATAATGTATATTATTACATTAATTTATATACTAATCGGCTTTTCTTTCGAATCTAAGATACACCCACGCGAGAGGGTTTTCCAGACAAGACCACTACACTATTAAAGTATGCCTACTTTAGCTAATCTCTCAATATACATAAATATTTTTAACAATGAAAGTCAATGAACATCTTATTAATTGAATATAATTTATTTTCAGGTTCCATCCTAAATATTAAAAAGTTAAGCCTTTTTAAAAATAAAACACTTGACCCAAATCAGCAGAAATGTTCTGGTAAACCAAGGATATACATAAATATTATTAAGATTTACTATGTGTAAATCTTAATAATATTTATGTATACAACAAGTTGTGCTCGTTTCATCAACATCAACAGTCCACTTCTAGACATAGGCCTCTCCTTAGAAAGGAGGTTTTGGTTTACTATACCACACTGGCCAGATGGGTTGGTATGGGGTTTATTTCAGTTTTCCTTTACTTTGCAGTACTGTTGCCCTGCGTAGTTTGCTCCCTTAGTCGGATCTTCCGATACCCACAGAATGAATAGAGGTGGAGAAACTTCGTATTCTTAATCTATCACCACATGGACAATTGCTTGTTAAATGTTATTTACGGCTAGATATCAAAGCTAGATATCAAGGCTAGATATCTACATTTATGGCTAGATATCAAATATGTAGATTCGTACAATTATATTATTTTTCGACATGTAATTTTATAATATTCTTAGTAAGTATATCTTTATATTATGATATTTTTTAAATAAGAGAGAGAACTCGTGCTGCTCCGAAGCATTAAGTTAAAGTGGCTTGTTTAACACCTGTTTTCCTAAAACCAATTCAAGTGGGTAAAAACACAATTGAAAGAGCTCGTTTCAACGTGTATTCTTAGACTTAGACCAAGCACATATCTCAAGGAAATAAATACCTTTTAATGACAAATAATTAAGCCAGTCCTTTGGTTAGAACGGCTGAGCTGACTCTGAATAAATTTCATAGTTTAAATATGCATATATGTCATTTTCTTGTATTATATATATGAAATAATATGACTGACATTGCATTAAATTAAACAACCGTCTTCATGTTTGTGACGGTTTCAAACAGAAGAAAGAGTATGCATTATGGTACTTATAAAAAGAGTAGTCATTTTATTATATTTGGGATTGTTTAAAACAAATGAAAACCCCGAATCCTTGAAAATCGTTGGATATTGCTACAGAGATACTAAATTCAATAATCTGCATTTGATTTGTGAGCTACGACATAAGCGCTTCTGCTTGCAATAAATTAACTACATGTTCTTGGGTTGCTTTAAATAGTGTTTTGTAACTGCTTAGTAGGAAATTTAAAATTTTGCATCCTGCCCTAGATGATTGAATGAAAAATCAATAAACTTTGACTGACTGGGAAATTAGTCACTTCACTTGTTCCACATTTTTATAAATACCTGCTTATCGTCAAGTAGGTTCATTTCAGTTTGACCCCTTAGTAAAATTAAAAAAAAACTAACTTACTTAACTTAATATTTGTAGTTTTAAACGGAACATTGTTAGCGTTAAGTCGTGTAATTCTTTTACTTCAGATGGCGAAATTTAAGTAAGACGTTGCTCCAACAAAGCCTTTCTTGGACTGTTTGTGTTGGTTACTTTTAGTCAATGCTGTTTCTTTAGGCCTACACGACTTATTTGTGACTGAATCGCTATCTCTTTGTGTACCTACCTAACTAGTACCTACTTTACATTTTACAAAAAAATTGTTGAAAAGGATTTCAGGAAAGGAACATTCTTTTCACATTTACGGATAAGTTAAAAAATTAAACGACTTTACCAATGAACTTCAATGAACAATGAGCTGAAATGTTTAAATCTAATTGTTATGTAAATTTCCATGATGTAGTATCTTATCTTAGCTTGCGAACAAATTCAGTACAAGAACTAAGGAAATACTACAAAAAACAATAATACTAATTACTTGACATATGCCACACGTCTAGAGACTCTAGAGAGAACCTATACTTTGATAATATACTAAATGTAACTGTACTATCTATATATATATGCAGATGTAAATGAAATATATTACTGTAGCTACCGATCGCCAAGAGATAATAGTGACCTTGACATTGCCCTGCCCAGATTAAAGTGCGCGACATGGCGAGCTGCTCCGTCGCAGTAACCGAAATGTTTTCGGCATATTGTTATTGTTGCAAACAAACAGTTCAATATGGCGATATTAACCATTTCAGTTCATCTTCTTCTCTATTTAGGTATAGGCCACCTTCAGACCATTTAACTCGCTCTAGCGCTACTTCCATCCAATTCATACATGCAGTATTCGGTCATCAATCAATGCATTTGTAGTCTATTTTATCTTCAAGGCCTCTATTTTAAGACCATTTAACATAATGTTCTCAATATGTGACACCCGTGTAACGTGATCCGTTACTTACCTTATTTTGTTCTCTAAACCAGGTATTTGGGTAACGATCCACCAGCGTAGTACCCACGATCTTAATATCCCTACTAATGTCCCAAATGCCAATGTAACTTTGTCTCTTTGTTATGCTTTCACGGCTAAATCCCTAAACCATTGTTAATGAAATTAGGCATGGTGATACTTTGATTCTTGAGGAAGGATATATGCTACTTTTTACTGCGATAACGACATACACGCTAGCGAAGCTACTGGCAAAGCTAGTACACGATAATTACAGTTATTCAAAGTTCAAAGCTAATTTTCGCAGAAAAAAACTGTAGAGATCATATATTAAAAAAATATCCAGTGTACAATAATTTTAATTTTCGTTATAACGTGTATGCTTGTTTAGGAACCGACACCGTTCTCTACTTTCATTATCTTTTTTCTCAATTTGTTCCAGATCGAAGCTGGCTGTTCTGAACAACCGTCATGCATACTTCCTCCTGGTGGACAACGGATCTGTAGGCAGATATGGTGCGGAGATCGTGCTTAGGCGCAAGCTGGAGAAATACATTGCAGCACAGAAACTACACCCTTGTAAGTACTTATGGTATCAAAACAGCAATGTATAGTAGAACAGACGTGTGTGAAGCTTTATTACGATATGACAGAACATATAGCCACCGTAATCACGTCATACAACAATTGCTACCCCATATAGACTACAAGTGAACGACACTTAAGTGTATTCATATTCACAAGGTCATGTTTACGCGTGTTTATTATTCCGGTATATTATAACTACGTTTACATGTGTGTGAATTGTAAATAACTTGCTGCTACACTTATACATTTACACATTTGCATATTATATACATTTGCATATTATAATTGTTACAAACCCATTCTGCGTTAATATTTTACAATTTCTCTAATAATGGTTCATTAATATCACAGGGTTTTTGTTTGCCGTGTATACAGTGGGTCTACTGATTTAGTGATAGTGGTGATAGTGATTAGAGTTAAATTCCACAAATAATTATGCGATAAGTACGATCATTAATTACTGGGTCTGGGTATATCTATCGTCTTTATTTATCTGTGGCGTTGCGGTCACCACTGATATACGAACACAAATCATAACTTTGTACTTCAATACGATAGAACTATGTGTTTTTTATTTAAATTCATGTTTAACAAGCAAACGTGCGGAGTCAGAACGCCATCTTGACCAAGATTATAAAACGGCTGTCGCGAGAGGAGCGGAGCGGAGAGAATATCCTGAATTTAGAAAAAGGAATATATTTATTTCCTACTCTTTCTGTTTAATACTATAAGTGTCACTCTCCAACTCATACTATTTCCGAATATATTGATAAATTATATTGCGGAGATAGAGTTGGCTCTATCTCAATAGTTTAATCTAGCAATATATGAACCAAAGACAATAGGCTCACTGTTTCGCTATTGTAATAAAGATCCAAGTTACTTATTTAAAAATTGGCACGATACAGTCGCCAAAATTGTTTTACTTGCTATACAATCTTTATAACCATTACTAGATAAAGAGATATTTAAATGAGTTTATTTATAACATAAAAGGAGGATCCTCCCTTTGTGTAATAAAGAAACTCACATTTTCGTGCATAAGTACATACAGGAAACCACATATTCATTACACTTCTTTTTTAAGCAGTTGTTAAAATAATTTACGATGATCTCGGGGTCCATTATGGTACATATATGATAATATCATGCACCGTATTAAATAGGGCATAACAGAAATATTTCTCTTAAAAAAATATACCTATAAAAAGGCCACGAATATATACAAACAATAAATTCGTATAAAATACCTAGGATTCTTCTTTAATAGAATTTTATTTGATCAATTTTCTATCTTCTTATGAAGTTTTAACCCCAAACCCATTTCTTCTAATTTGGAGGAGGGGGTCTCAAAGGGTAGCTACTAGAGGTGGAAGAAATTCACAATCACATGTGGTAAATAATAATACCTGTGACTAATTTACAAAACCTTTGCAACTAGAAAAGAAAAAAAATAGATTAGAAACAAGACTCACGAAAAGCATAAATCCAAAAAAAAGATGTCGTAATCTTTGATAAAAAGAATTTTGATTGATTTGAATGGCATTTATCTTTGTGTATAACGTAATCACAATCACATGTGAAATCACTGTGACTAAAATAATTCATTTCATCAAATGAATATGATTCAAAGTAGTAGCATTGATTCCCATGTCTAGTAGTTTCGCACTTGTGACTCTTGAATGAAGGTGTCAATGGGCGGTGGTAGTCACTTACTATTAGGAGACCTGTCTGCTCGTTTCCTCCATATCCATAATAAAGTACATTCATTCCAAAGAAATTTTGTTTTTCGAAAGATAAATTATTATTATTACTTAATGAAACAAAGACGTATGCAAACCCTAGCGAGTAAGAGTAGAGTAAGAAAGCTTTAAAAAAGAATTTTTTTATAGTTAACACAAAGAAGTTCTCTTAATATATGATGTAAGTATTTATAATCTGTACCTATAAATTTTTCATCTCTAAAGACTAAATTTCAAACCAGAGACAATACAAAAGAGTCAAGTGTCAAAGCTTTGTCAAAGTTAACAAATAAAATATATTTAGTTACAGACTTCGTTGTTCCTAAAATATAACAACGTAGATTGCTCATATTATTTTATAACTATAATACCTACCTGTTAGAGTTAAATTAAAAGCAAAAAATTATTAACTCAAATCTCTGCAGACATCAAACATTGTAATTATTATTGTATTTATTGAACAAACAAATCATTTAAACAATATAATGTCTTAGTAGAGTTTTATCCAACATGTTTATTATTTATTATCAAACCCGATACGGGTGCATACGTATGCGATCGACATATGGAATGTTATACTTGTCCATATTTTTATTATTGTGCTTACCGCGTTTGTGTCCGGCGACTGTTCCTTAGTTTTAAATGTATTCAGTTCATTTTCCTCGTCAGTGAATATGAAGGAGAACAAATCATAGTACCACAGCTGTGGAGTGTACACTTCATCGTCGTTGGCAGCTGTACGCCGGCTTTCCACTACCTTTTTGTATTCTCGTCGCACACATGCGCGTAAACTCTCTATCTTTCTCAATACATGCACTCGCGTTGCGCTCGGATCGAACTCTTGTACGAGCTTCGTTAATTTTGTCACTGCATCATGTCGTTTTTGCTTCACTTTGTAAGAAATACAGTCTTTATCCCACAGACAAGGTTGATCTTTGTATAGTAGGATAAATGCTTTGAGTAATTTACGCGGAAATACAACGGTGTTGCCGTCCGACATTTTGTTTGGGGCGTTCGACGAGCAGTGCGTCGCGCAGGTCACTAGACGTGTTGGGTTGGTAAGTACGGCGCGCGGCTCGGCCCACCCCGCCAACCCGCGCACCTCTCTGCGTTGGCCTGTTTGCTCGACGCTTTGTTCGGCGTCAGCACGAGCCGCGAGTCACGGTCGATACAACACTAATAGTTTTGTAGAGCATTTTTGTGAGCTGGCGGTCAAAGCGCCTTTAGTTTTTAAACTGCAAAGTTTTGTCTATTCCATATTCTTATAGCTTGGGTAAAAAGACGTTTAAAATATTACTTTACTGTTTGATTCAATATCAACCGTACGGTGATAAATATTTCAATTGATGAAACAAATAAACAAGAAAATTAATTCAAAGATTATTATCGGATGTGTATCGCCTGATAATTAATAATTATGAACCGTATCACACTTTAACTTACGTATTTCTCGAATTAATTGAATCAACGAGTACACCAATATAAATGAAACAACATTAAATTAATAATTAAATTTATATGAAAAGGATGTTCGATTCTAAGCATTATCTACACTATATCGTTTCTCTTTAACTTGCGTAGGTATAGTAATTGTGACTAAAACAATGATGTCACTAAATTTGCTCTGATATAACACGCTTGTGACGTGCTCGTGCATAAGCTGGGAACACCTATTTGCATATATTACTCTCACTTTGTCAACCTTGAAAAAGAAACTAAACCCCTTTTTACATACAGCACCCACACAGACAGACTACACACAGGTAAACACAACAAAAGGTTTATAATGTTGCAATATTTTTAATATTTATAATAACCTTACACATCTCACACACGGCCGTCTGATCCCAAACTAGGCAGAGCTAGTACTATGATAACTACTAACGAGATCAGGATGGCAAAGACTCGGCAAACATTTAAATACCTGTTGCGGCAACATTTTTTAAACACTATCAAATCCATCTTAATTTTATACTCTCTAAATTTAGAATTTATATTATGTGTATTTAAGTATATAAATGTATATTTATGTATTATGTGTGTTAGTATTATATGTGTATTACTTATTGTATTTATCTTTAAAATTATTCCAACGTTATTTATATAAGTACTCTGGTTATATGATATTCTACATATGCTATAGTTTTAATAAATCATATTTTTAATTTCTGTGCATCTACCACGTTTGGCTCTGCATCGCCCTAAGGTCGACTGGTAGAAAATGCCTACGGCATTAAGCTCGCCTTTGCCACATTTGTGCATAAAGATTTAAATAAATAGATAAATAACTAGACGGCTGAATTATAAATACATACATACATATTAGAGATATACCCAGACACAGAACAAATGATCGTACTCATCGCACAATTATTTGTAGTGGATGGGAATCCAAGCACTAGACCAACAGGCCCGTTTAACTAATAGGTTGCAAATTAAAAGATTGAATTACAATAATAGTTATTTAAGTCAGCCAACCATTTTTAATGTATGACATCTCCCCTCTCGCTGTCCTACAATTTGTGGCAATGATTTCCTGAAAAGAAACGGAAGTGTGTAACAGGAAGCCTCGGTTATTTGATGGAAAGTCAGATGTCATTTTTTTTTAAATAATACTATAAAGATAACTGTAGCACTCTAAAACATTTGTGTGTCATGGCAACATTGAAACATAGAGCACTATGAATGAGCCGAGATTCGGGACTATTATTTCTGGTTCATATAATTTGGTGTCCCATGTCTCGTCCTGGGCTCAGTGACACAATAATCCTAGAAAGCAGGTTTCGGCCTACTATACCACGTTGGCCAGACAGGTTGGTATAGTGTTTGTGTCTAGTGCTCATTTACTTTGCTCTTGTCCTACGTAGTTTTCTCCCTTAGCCTGCTCTTCCGACATCCATGGGATAAGCAGCTAACAAGGCTGGTGACACTACGTATTCTTAATCCGTTACCACACGAATGAAAGTGAGACTTTTTTTATTGCTTGCATTTATGTAAGTAGAGTCCGCTGTAAGTGTTAGCATAAATGCCTTTCACCAAGCCAATTGTAGGTTTGTGTCACAAAAAGGGAGCTAAAACTTGCACGACATTGTTGATGGCCTAATTTGAAAAGCATGGATGTAATGTTAAGATAAAATTTTAGCGTTGAGTGAACTCTAAAATTTTATTTTAACATTTTGTATACTATTCATCATCAATCGGGCGGATTTCGGTTTTCTCGCATTCATATGTATTTTCTTTTAGTCTTTCTCCTCAGAGAATCCCACAAAAAGTCTACCTATGATAGAAAGAAAAAGGAAAGGTCAAACATAAATATTTACATAAGGATATTTGCAAGGCATCCCTTGATGCTAAACATATAATATGTAATTTATAAGCAGAGCGATTTATGGACGTAGAAACCTCTTTTCAGTTGCAAAATATGAATGTTTTATTTAGAGGCCTCACAATATTTGTTATTATGACCATCTATAGCTAGACCAAAGATATTACTGCGTTGGTGAGGTAGAAATCTTATACCAAAAATATAATAAAAATAACTTCAGAGTACACACGAGCGTCTAATTCAAACTAGGCAGAGCCTATATTATAATAGCCGGAATGCTGTGTCGAAGGAGCCTACAAAGGGATGTCCTCAGGGATCAGTGCTAGGTCCATACTTGTGGAATATCGACTTTGATGATTTTCTTGCGATACCAATACCATCCGGATGTACTCTGAACGCGTATGCTGGTGACGGCTTATTACTGGTGGAATCTGTTACTAGGGCTTGAGAGATTACCCAATAGATGTTTGAACTTGATATCTCATTGGGTGAACGTAATCGCTTATTCTTGAACCAAATATAACTTTTAAAAGGTAACCTCAAATCACCGCCGAGCATATTTTTGACAATGTTACTGTAAAAAAAACCTGTGTGTTATTTAGGATTAGTTTTAGAAAGAAACTTTTAATTTATCGAACATATTAAAATAGTTGGTGAAAAGTCTAAAAAGAATTTCTGTGCATTGACAAGGAGATATCAACTGCGACATGGGGTCTATCATTTAATACTTTCTTTTAATTCAAGACAACAAAACATGGAATGCAATTTTTTGGGCGCACACGATCGCGATAAAATCATCTAAGGGGCGCCACCTTTACCAGTTCTTTCCATCTATTCGCGAACGGTTATCGAGGACATGGCTTGAGGTGGATCACTCTGTCGCTCAATTTCTTAAGGGTCGTGGTAACTTTAAGAGCACACTGTATTCATTTAAATTATTTAAGTCACTATTGGAGCTGGATGCGAGAAGCCCAAAATCGATTTAAGTGGCGTGCAATGGGAGAGGCCTATGTCCAGCAGTGGACTGCCATAGGCTGATGATGATGAAGTCACTATTGTGTCAATGCTCAACACCTAACTCTAACGGTGAACAATCAGCTCATCATATCCTCTGCGAATGTAGTCTTTGGTATAATGAACGTAATAAAATGCTGAATAGCTTGCAGGTGACATCTGGGGCGGTATACTATGGGGAATTTCCGTGCGTTTAGGTGATTCTGCCATACATACTATAGAAATCAAATGTAGCTCACTTAGGACCCATAAAATTTTGTGGCCGTGGTGTTTCCCTGTTTAAAAGGGCATATGCCTATTTTAATTCATTTTGTCTCCCGCTTTGCTAAGGAGGGAAGTGGGTTTACTGTATTTCCAACTCCTCCAATTTTCTTCTGATTGATTTCGTTGCGGGTTCCAAGACAGTATAATTTTTTTTCCTAAGACTTTCCGAGTGTCATAACTCGGTGTGTTCGTGGATCACTGCTATTGATCCTGGTGTACAGGAGTTACAGTAGTGGGCGTGTGAGAGGGGTTAGTCCCATTTAGCGAGATAGCCAATTACCAGACATATTTATCTACAATAAATTACAGCTAGACACAAAACAAATAATCATGGCCCTTACACAATTCTATATCACTAAGCACTATACCAATAAATCCGTCAGTAAATAAAATGGTTAAAGTAACTAAATAAATGACAACTAAATAACTTGAAAATTATCAAAAATATGACAATTGACAATTGACAAAAACTTGCCGAAGTAGCCAGGTGGCTACTTCGGCAAGTTTTTGTCACTTGTCACAATTCTTCTCTTGCTTTCTTTTCTTTCATTTCAGTCAGTTCTTTCAGGGCTTTGCATGAGACTAAAAATTACGAAAGAGCACCACTACTGAGTAAAAAGAGATCCAAAGCATAAAAAAATCTTTGCAAGAAGCCCTTGTGTAAATTGTTATTCTGTGAAGATTTAATGTGAGCTATAAAAAGCAAAGATTTTGCTGAGGGCTTAAGTTCAACAAAGTCGTAACAATTATGCAAATAATTATTGGTCTTTGTAATTTCAGCTAAGAAACTTTTCGTGTTAATTATATTTATTGTGAACATCAAAAGTAACAAATACGATTGTCGGTAGCAGTACACCAAGTTTAATAATATAAAACTATACAGGTGAACATAACATATAAAAACCACAAGTCTCGCAAGTCCCAACGCAGTTATTCTACCGCAAAAAGTTATGAATCTAATTTGTTAGCTGACGACATTTATAATAATAATAATATTTTCACACATCTCACACACGGCCACCTGATCCCAAACTAGCCAGAGCCTATACTATGGTAACGAGACTGCTGATTAACATATACATTTCTACATACATATACATTTCTACATACATACTTATTATAGATAAAATACACTCAGGCACAGAACAAATAGTGGAAATCGAACCCACGACCTTTGGCGTAGCAGTCAGGGCCACTAACCACTAGACCAACAGGCCAGTCAAATGACTGTGTAATTTTTTGATATCATCGTGGGCAAAGAAGCAGACGGGTCTCCTGATGGTAAGTGAGTATCTGCAGCTCAAGAGACACAAGTGCGTAACCGCCCTTTGGGTCCATCTCCAGAATCAGGGTGAGAGCAGGTTTGGGCTCCAGTAACTTCACTCACAAGAATTGCT